GTATTCAGCAACATTCTGGTTTTCAAAGCAGAGTAACCCGCTTTCTGACAAATTATTTTCATGATGAACATTCTTACTTTCTGTTGTCTCTGAAAGCTGACTTCTGTTGTTTCTGAAACACTGATCTCCAGTGTTTTTAACACAACATTGTGAATAATGCATTTCCATCACTTCCTCATCCTCATAATCTGTGCTGTCAAAAGTATCATAGTCTAAGTCCACATAATCATAACCTTCAAAATCATCCTCGCCTTCATCATCAATACTCTTGGTAACATGATCATCCTCATCTTCATCATTATCACCACCACTGGCATTACCTATAGAGAGGCTCTCGTATTCACTCTCATCAGATTCACCTTCTTTCATTCTAACAGTCCCATGAGCTTCCCTTTGCATTGGAACTTCCTGCAACTTTTCAAGTGAGTTGTCAATCTCTCTACTTTCTCCCCTTCCCCTTTTCTGACTTATATTTTCTACATCCCCAATACCTTCTGCCTTATCTTCTGGACCAGTGCTTACCAACCATGCATTGAATGCTGCTATGTTTATAATTTCAAATGTATCGGTATCACTTGATTCACTAAAGCCTAGAATATTCTCCTCCTCTTTATTCAAGCTGACCTCAGAGCTTCTTTCTTGTACTGGCTTATCCATTGCTCGTCTTATGGATACTGTACTGCTATCAGGTTCTAGAGTAACATCTTCCTTTAAAGTGGAAGAATCATCTTTTTTGATGCTGGTCAAGCCAGAGACACCATTAAAATCAATCTGTATAGTATCACATGGCTCACTGCTACCTTCATAACTGCTGTCCTTATAGTTCCTGCCATTTTCTGACGGTGGAGTACTGTGGTCCATTTCATACACTGGCTCAAAAAACTTATTGTTACTGCTATCTAGAGCTAACAGAGCACATGCCAATGCTGGCTTGTTGTCATTCACAGGTGGCTCATTATTCTCTAAGTTAGTAGTAGCCTGTAGATGTGCTGTGGACTGGCTATCAGTATTTCTTTCAATGGTTGCTTCAAGACATTCAGTACTGACGACAGCTGGCGGATCAGCATTTGTAACAATGACATCTTCCAGTAGAAAGTTAGTATTGGTAAGAGCACAATCTCTATGAACTGGCCCAATGCATTTATCTTCAGCAGGATATTCCAGCAGCCAAGGCCCATGAGAACTAATGTGACACTCATGCAAAGATATATTACATAAATCTTCCTGACCTATGAATTGCTGTCTGATATTAATATTGTGTTCCAGAGATGTCTCACTTCCAGTTTCAGTTGCTTGTGTTGGCAATAACCCATTAATCAAACTATTGCTGCCTTCCATCAGTTGGTCACTATTTAAAAAAATGTCCTCCAGCACTGACATACTATGGTTATTGCTACCGCCATCAGGTGCTGAGCTATCAAGTGTATGGTGTGTAGTTTCTAGTGATGGTTCACCTTGCAACCTGATGTTGTCCTCCAAAAATCTATTAGCAGTATCTTCCAATTGTGAACTGACATTAACTGGAAGGTTCTGTGCCAGCGCATCATTCATGGAAGAACAGTTTTTCAGTGGATCTGAACTATGCTCCATGGAGTGGTCTTCCAATGGTAACCTGCTATCTGCACTGGTAAAAGTCTGTAAAGCAGATTCACTGTCCCTATTACTTTGATTATGTAACAGTGGAGTGGTTTTAGTTTCAGGCTCTAATACTTCATTTTCAGTATAAGTCCCTAATTCTTCCTTAATACTTCCATTTAAACATTTTTCACCAGGTTGCATACTACTGCATACACTATCCTGAAAGTCGTTTTTCAGCTCATACTTCATTGACACACTTTCTTCTTCAGACTCCAAAATGTGTGGCATGCATTTCTGCATATTGTTGACCATAAGATGTGAAACCTCAGTACTCCCTTGTGCTTTACCTTCCTCATTAACCCTAAAAGAATTGTTTACTTTTAAAAAGTTACTTAAGATGCCTGGAAGGTTGCTTTTATTCCCCTGGATTTTCTCTCCCTCTATCATACAATTCTTATGTTCATTTATTCCTGGAGGAACAAACTCATGCAAATAATCTGAATGAGATTCTTCTGCCTCATCACTTCTAACACTTTCTGTCTCACTTACATACTTTTTACATACTTCTGTGGGTACATTTTGAGAAGTTTCCTGCAACTGTCTAAACATGTTTTCACTTTCATACTTCTGATCTCTATCAATCTCCTTTGCAGATTTAGCTTCCTGTTTACAAAATAATGCATCTGCAACATACCCAGATTGCTCTGAATCACTAACTGCAATGGGAAAATTATCTGCCACTGAATGTTCATTGCTGTGCTGATCTTGATGAACCTCCTTCTTCTCACTGTCATTACAAATATTTTGGACACTTGTCTTTTGACTAAGAGTACTGCAGGTGGTACAGGTAAACACTGTATCTTTAGGTTGTTGATCAAGATCTTGCACCTCAGTGTGTAAATGGTATTCACAAAACTGTCCTTCCATCCTGTGTGTATTATATTCAGAACTGCTGCCACCCATTAACCACTTGAGTGTTTCATCTAAGTTGTCACAATGTATCAAGAGCCTCTGCCCTGAATTTGCATCCATATAACTGTTTACCATTAGGTAAGATATGAATAGGTTTTGGGTGTGTTGTGAGGAATAAAGCATTGGCTGGCTACTGAGAGAATCATCTATATCTTCTTGTTGATCATGATGGACAAATGGGTGGAGTTCACATGACAGCAATCTTGCTTCCTTTTTCAAAGGCAATGGTATATCGTCTACATTGGGCATTTTGTCAGGTAGGGGCACACTACTCAAAATGGATGATGTGTTACCATCAATGATTCCTTGCTGGGCAGCATCCTCTAGGCTGATCACTTCACAGGTTTCTGGAATATAAAGTGCAGCTATTTTTTGCCTCTCATTGAGAATTTTGCAGGCCAGCTTATTAGTGACTATGCCTTGATCCAAAGATGTAGATACAGGAAATATTTCCCCACTATGTGGCCTGATGAGTCCAATGAAGCTTCGCTGCGCTTGTAGTACCAGCAGAGCACTGCTGGAAGAGATCAAGTTGCACTGTACAGCTTCATCTACAGTCAAACGTTTTGATGAATTTGGACATAGGATCCCACCTGTCTGAATCTGGTGCGTCAAAATAGCACAAGCAGCATCCTGATCAATAACCTGTTCTCTCATAGCCTCTTCAACAGTCATTTTGTGTCCTGTCTGAGGATGAACGATACCCCCAGAAAGCAACTGTGCACCTAACAGCCTGAACAAAGTGTCTCTGTCTACAAGTCCTTCATGAGCTGCTCTCAAAAGTGTAATTTTTCTTCCACATTTTAGTGTTACCCTTCCTTTTTCTTGACGAACCACAGGGAAGAGTCTCAAGCCTGTTTCCTTATGCACTACAGTTCTTTCAAGCAAGTCCCCATAAGAAACCTTTTCTGCAGTGTTGGGGTCAATGAGGTTTCTGCACATATCATGTCTTTCTAGGAGCTTGGTATATAAGGGTGCGGAAATCAGATTCTTCTGAAATGCTCCATGCAAAGTTAGCTGTTCTCCTGTAGATGATATCCTTAGGTACCCACTGGAAAGCTGAATCTCAAGAATTTTAATAGCCAGAGGTTCCGAAATTAGACCCCGTTCCAAAGCCACTACAACTGGGAGTGCTGTCAGCTGCAATTCTGAAATGATCATCTTAGCATTCTGCAAATCTTGTAGTTGCAATATAGCTTGTTCATCAACAAGCCCATGGCTTTTGGCTTCTTCAAGGTCAAAACTCTTTCCCAAGGTTGGTGAAATTAAATCTGATAAAATGAGCTGGCTCTGAAGTAATCGAATTCCAGTGTCATAGTCAAGAAGGCCTTTATAAACTGCCTGCAAGACGGAAAATATCTCTCCTGTGATTTGATCAATGATGCCAGCTATGACTTTGTCCACCTAAGAGTATAAAAGAATAGGTTTTCAGCATTTTGCAAATTGGAAAGTCCAGATATTTGAATTTTTAGTATTTATCTCTTACTTACTTACCAGAGTTGGAGCAAGAATGTTAGCAGTTCAATGTAGAAATGATCTTATGTCAGTGATTCAACAGCACACGGTGTGATAAAAGATTGTAACATGGCATGCATCGGTGAGCCAAAAGCCTATGCTCTGCATACATCAATAGGATTAGTGGAAGACAACTGAATTGATGACCATATAGTGAGTGAAAAGGAGACATATTCCTGGAAGGCAAACTGTCATGCCATCTCTGTGCTTAGTGAGAGGTTAGGAGATTCAGAAAACAGTATGTGGAACAAAAACACTCATGCTATTCATGTTTACAGCATACTGCACTCTTATGGAGACATCTAAACACACAGAATCAAGTATTATAGCCACTTAAATTATGGCACCTGGTTTGCATTTGATGTCACCAACTTGGAACAATTTTTAAAATATGCATGCAAAATAATCCTTCTGTATATACACAATGGCATTTTATTGCATTTAAAGTGGCACTACTGAATATAATAGATATTAATGCATTATTTCATTGTTAGTGAAAATTTAGGATCCTAATATATGCACCCAGATGAAATTTCATGAACTTCTGAAATACATCATACCTTCTAGGATACTTCTAGGAGAGCATAGAATTAGGTGTAGTCTACATAACTTTTATCTGGTATCATGTTTCTGAAGCACAGAATTCTGATAGAATTCAAAGTATGGTATTTAGAAAGAAGGAGTAAGTAGTTCTTAGTTCATGCACGGTACAATGTAAAACATGTCCCTTTACAAGGTTCTTTATATTAATTCATAGACATCTAGTGATAATTCTAATTATATGATTAGATTGTCAGTCATTTAATTCTAATTTTATTTCTATGATGCACACTATTCAATGCATTTTTAGTACCAATATGCAGTTTCACAATCATGCAGTAAATCAGACTCAGAAGACTGTACACTATAGGCAGCAATATTACACTGTGGGATACCTTTTCATCCATATTTTCATCATCTAGACTTTGTTCCTCCTGCAACTTTTTCAAATCTTCATTAGACAACAATTTATAACCCTCTTGCAGGGACCTTACATGGTTTTCCATTTCATTTTTCTCTTCCTCTGTCATTCTGTGAAAAAAAATAGATGTGAGTTTTATACTAACAATGTCAAAACATTCAAGTACATACAGAAAGCTCCCGTTGCTGCATGGCCAAAGTTCAACAGTGGGATAGCTGCAATTACTTTTGAAAGTGTACAGGAAGTGTGTACCTTATTTATAAAAAGATTAATGCTTTCAAAAGGCTTCTGGGAATTGTAATTAGCTAGTTAACCAAGTGTATGTGCCTCTGTATCTTGTGTCAAAAGCAAACTACATCCTTTTTTTAGTTAGTGCTATACCAACAAATATTTCTGGGAGGAATAGGGGAATGAAAAAAATATGCCAATGGACTGGAGGTTGTTCACGTTCTCCACATCTGTTTTATACCTTTGGTCTAGATGGGCGGTGTATAAATAAATAAATAAATAAATAAATAAATAAATAAATAAATAAATAAAAGACAGGCGTATTTTAACTCCAGGACTGCAGCACCCAAAGTCCAGTCAACATGGAATGCCAGTAGACCAGAAGTTGATGTATCTTACTTTTTCTTGATTGTTAATACCAGTACTTCCTAGTATTTGTTGACTGTGTTTTGGTTTTTTAACTTACCAAATTACTTTTTTTTAAAAAAGCCAAGATGATGCAAAATTCAATAAATTCATCATAATTCAATGAACTCATCCTTATTCAGTAAAACTGCATAAAGTAGGTTAGAGCTTGAAGGCCCATCTAAAAAGGAAAGCCCTAACTTGTGTTTAAAGACAGGCATAAATTGCATTCCATTGGAAGAATGTTCCGAGAGAACAGGTGTAGTCAGAAAGGCTTAACATGACATTTCCAATAACTTAGCAGCCTAACAGATGGAAGGAATTTGAGATCATATAGGCAAAACCTTTTCTGAACATGTTAGTTAAGGTTCTGTAATTCCACTGCCATAATTAAGGCAAATGTACTGATCCAATTTAACTATAAACTGGGGTGCCATTTAAACTTGAGGTTTTCTTATCTATCCAGAGATTTTACATTGCAAAAGGTTCTATGGTGCCTCCAGATGGAAATGGTACTACACACTTCAAAATAACGTCAGTATAAAAAGAAACATACTTATCACCATGCTTCACCAAAAATGACTGTGCTGTTTGCAAAGCCTCTGATATTTGTTCTTTCTTGCTTGATAATTCATCAGCAGGAATCTGGAGAGAAAATATACAGTATTCATGTTTTTTCCATTCCGGAAATAAATAGAGGATGGGTACGTAAGACACTTTAACACAAAGGGTAAAGCAAAACATAAAAAGAAGCTACCAACTCTGGGCATTTCAAGAAACGACACAAGACATTTTTACTAATATCAATAATTTGCCTGTCTACTTAGAAGTAAGTTCTTAGAGGTCACTTAGTCTTGAGTAAATATTAGAGATGGGGGTATTCGTATACAAATATCCCTGCACAAGTGGCGATAACGAGGGTCCAACCCCATGGGGCTGGATGGTCCACTCACCCATCCGCGACTGCTGCAGACACCGCAATTCTTCCAACAGCTCTGTAGATCATGATTGGCTAGCCACCCATGGCAGGAGGACAAGCCTCGCTGCAAGAATCGTGGCAACCACAGCAGTGACGGGCCATCTGGCCCCATGGGGCTGGACCCTCGTTATTGCCACCTGTGTGGGGATATACCAATACTCCCATGTCTAGTAAATGCCAAGGCTACATTCCTGTGCCCATTTACTTGGGCATAACACTTACTTCCAAGTAGAGAGTAACAGGATTCTGCTGCCTGAAACATTTAATTATGAGAATCACAGTAAGACTGTGTTTACAGTAGGGCAAGATTGAATGTCATGATTAATGTTAGAGGTAAACACAGATATATACTAGTAAAGGTATTTGTTAGTTAACCTTCTGAATGGTTTTACTCTTCTGCAGTCATTGTTCTAATTGGTTTATGAACATATCAAGTATATTATATTTATGTAAATATTTGCCTGTTTAACAAAGACATATTTTGACATGTATAATCTCAGAACAGCATCCAACTGAAGATACTTGCATAATTCAAAAGCTCATGTTTCCAGGATTTTAAATATTTGCCTGTTTAACAAAATGTATGACCTCACTTAGTAAATTTGTTTTCTGTACCAGCAGAGCTAATACTGTACACTGATGTTTTTGAGTAGGAAGGGTTCTAAACTATACAGAAAAAATTAAATTGAAGCAGGGGAAAGAAACCTTACCATAAGTGGGAAGGTCTGCTGGCTCAGGTTTGTTTGTGATGGTTTTATTTATTTACAGGCCATTTCCCCACCACAATACAGCTCAGAGCACCACAAGGAGAATGACTTTGTCAGTGCATACACCTTTCAGTCACTGCCCACAGCAGCTACATGAAAACATACACAACCTATTACTGTAAGGATGACTATGCTTTTACAGGTCTAACCAGATAAGCTTCGGCTCTACAACATAAAACTCTATGTGAGCAGAGATTATCAATACCATGCTGACACTCACTCTCTCAGATATAGTTCTGAAGAGTCTGAAAAGATGCTGCCCAAAGTTGTACCAAGGAAGCAAAATATTAGCCTCACAGGACAGTAATACTAGAAGGTGGGCATCTTCTACTTTTGCCTCATAATAGTGTTCCCTTCTCTGGACCACATGCTCCATCACATGCCATTTTGAAGCTAGTTTGTATGTGCCTAAATCAGGGATGAATAACCTTGAAGTGTGTGAGGGCCATTTCTCACCATCATCAAACTTGCCACAGAAGCCTCAACAAGGGACTGAAACAAGGTGTTTTGCCTTATATTTAAAGGGGACCCTAGGCCAAAGGCAAAATTCTCCGATTCTTTTAGATATTATTTTCCTGGATAATTGGGGAGTGCTCTAGGGGCTGCAAAATAGCCACAGGGGCTCCACAAAGTCTACAGGTCACATGATACCCACCACTGAATAAATGTTCTGCTGGCATATAAAAGCCTTACATTAGTCATCCTATTCTTAACTATGTGTGTATCAGAACACTGTCTTTTAATGATGTACACTGCCTTTGTATACTCATTGTTTTAATCTTTAAATATTGTCTTTCAGCTGATGTAAACCACCTTGGGTCCTTTTGAAGGAGAAAGGCGGGGTAAAAATGATTTTAAATAAATAAATGTATTCCTTACATTCCCTTGCTCGTTTCAAACTTCATATATCTTTAGAGACCAAACTAGCAAGCACAAGGCTGCTCAGTAGCTGACAGTTTACTGGTAGTGTGCAGAAACTACACAGAAAGGGTTGGCCCAATTTAATAGAGAATTACAAGGTGAAACCATTGCTCCTTTTATGGAGGTGAAGAAGATATAGAACAATTAAGACTCGGACCACACGTTTTCTAAATAGTTTTTATCCTAGAGCTATAATTGCAATTAATAATGAGCTTAAAGACCACCAGTAGTGAATAATTAGTTGGACTGTGTTACTTGGCCTGAGGTGTAGATGTTTGTATTTTTAGTGGGGGACTTCTAGTGGGTGGGGAGCGTTTGGGGAATGTTATGTGTGTGCATGTGTCTGGTCTCTGGGTGTCTGTGAATTTCGTTGTATGGTATACTGTGTATATACTTACAATATCAATAAATTATTATTATTATTATTATTATTATTACTATTATTAAAGAAATAGATGGAGTACTAGAAACACATTTCTGTACACAGCATAGAAAAGTTAGTTTTGGGAACTACAATGTCAAGAACCTCCCAGCCAGCATGGCTACTTTGCTATGATGGCAGAGGATTCTGGGTAGAGAGGGGCACAAAATGGTGCAACCCAGTTCGTAAAGGTAGCAGAACTCCCCTTCCCCCTCCCCCTCTGGCTCAGTCAGGCCCTCACCAGGCCCAGGGTGGTAGCTTCCTGCACCTCCTCAACTGATCTTCCAATCCAGCCAACAACTCAGGCTTCTTCGCCCCACCCTTTTCAGATGACAGAAGAAGTCTGTGCTCTTGTTTGTGACTGGAAGATTAGCCAAGGAGGTGGGAAAAGCAACCAAACTGGGTCTGGTGAGTGACTGGCTGAATGAGGAGGCAGGGAAGGAGAGCCTTTATGAACTGGGGTGAAACTGTTCATGTTATTGTTGTTTAGTCATTAAGTCATGTCCGACTATTTGTAACCCCAGGGACCAGAGCATGCCAGGCCCTCCTGTCTTCCAGTGCCGCCTGGAGCTTGGTCAAATTCATGTTGGTAGCTTCAATGACACTGTCCAACCATCTCATCCTCTGTAATTCCCTTCTCCTCTTGCCTTCACACTTTCCCAACACCAGGGTCTTTTCCAGGGAGTCTTCCCTTCTCATGAGATGGCCAAAGTACTGGAGCGTCAGCTTCAGGATCTGTCCTTCCAGTGAGCACTCAGGCTTGATTTCCTTTAGAACTGATAGGTTTGTTCTCCTTGCAGTCCAGGGGACTCTCAAGAGCCTCCTCCAGCACCACAATTCAAAGGCATCGATTCTTCGGCAGTCTGCTTTATGGTCCAGCTCTCGCTTCCATACATCACTACTGGAAAAACCATAGCTTTGACTATGTGGACTTTTGTTGGCAAGGTGATGTTTCTGCTTTTTAAGATGCTGTCTAGGCTTGTCATGACTTTCCTCCCAAGAAGCAGGTGTCTTTTAATTTTCTGGCTGTTGTCACCATCTACAGTGATCATGGAGCCCAAGAAAGTAAAGTCTGTCACTGCCTCCTCCATATCTTCCCCTTCTATTTGCCAGTGGCCATAAGCTTAGTTTTTTTGATGTTGAGCTTCAGACCATTTTTTGCACTCTCCTCTTTCACCCTCATTACAAGGTTCCTTAATTCCTCCTCACTTTCTGCCATCAGAGTGGTATCATCTGCATATCGGAGGTTGCTGATATTTCTTCTGGCAATCTTAATTCCGGCTTGGGATTCCTCTAGTCTAGACTTTCGCATGCTGTATTCTGCATATAAGTTAAATGAACAGTCGGACAATATACAGCCTTGTCATACTCCTTTCCCAATTTTGAACCAATCAGTTGTTCCATATCCAGTTCTAACTGTTGCTTCCTGTCCCACATATAGATTTCTCAGGAGATGGATAAGGTGCTCAGGCACTCCCATTTCTTAGGGACTTGCCATAGTTTGCTGTGGTAGACAGATTCAAAAGTTTTTGTGCAGTCAATGTAGCAGATGTTTTTCTGGCACTCTCTCGCTTTCTCCATAATCCAGTGCATGTTAGCAATTTGGTCTCTAATTCCTCTGCCTCTTTGAAATCCAGCTTGTACTTCTGGGAGTTCTCGGTTCACATACTGCTGAAGCCTACCTTGTAGGATTTTGAGCATAACCTTGCTAGTGTGTGACATGAGTGCAATTGTACGGTAGTTGGAGCATACTTTGGCACTGCCCTTCTTTGGGATTGGGATGTAGACTGATCTTTTCCAATCCTCTGGCCATTGCTGAGTTTTCCAAACTTGCTGGAATATTGAGTGCAGCACCCTAACAAGTGTAATCTTTTAAGATTTTAAATAGCGTATTTTTCGCACCATAAGATGCACTTTTTTCCCACAAAACAGGGGGGTGGAAAGTCTGTGCGTCTTATGGAGCGAAGAAAACAGATTATATTTTCCAGTTTTCTTCTCCTAAAAAATTGGTGCGTCTTATGGAAAGGTGTGTCTTATGGAGCGAAAAATAGTAGTTCAGCTCAAATGCCATCACCTCCACTGGCTTTGTTCTTAGCTATGCTTTCTAAGGTCCACTTGACTTCACTCCAGGATGTCTGGCTCAAGTTCAGCAACCACACTATCTGGGTTGTCCGGGACATCCAAATCTTTCTGGTGCAATTCCTCTGTGTATTCTTGCCACCTCTTCTTGATGTCTTCTGCTTCTGTGAGGTCCCTGCCATTTTTGTCCTTTATTATGTTCATCTTTGGGCAAAATGTTCCTTTAATAACTCCAATTTCCTTGAACACATCTCTGGTTTTTCCTTTTCTGTTATTTTCCTCTATTTCTTTGCATTGTTCATTTAAGAAGGCCCTCTTGTCTCTCCTTGTGATTTTTTGGAAGTCTGCATTCCATTTTCTGTAGCTTTCCCTATCTCCCTTGCATTTTGTTTCCCTTCTCTTCTTTGCTATTTGTAAGGCCTCATTGGACAGCCACTTTGCTTTCTTGCATTTCCTTTTCTTTCCAATGGTTTTTGTTGCTGCCTCCTGTACAATGTTACAAACCTCCATCCATAGTTCTTCTGGCACTCTGTCCACCAAGTCGTGTTCCTTAAATCTGTTCTTCACTTCCATTGTGTATTCATAAGGGATTTGGTTTAGATTATATCTGACTAACCCAGTGGTTTTTCCTCCTTTCTTCAGTTTAAGCTTGAGTTTTACTATGATAAGCTGATGATCAGAGCCACAATCAGCTCCAAGTCTTGATTTTGCTGACTATATAGAGCTTCTCCATCTTTGGCTACAGAGAACATAATCAATCTGATTTCAGTATTGCCCATCTGGTGAAATCCATGTGTAGAGTCGCCTCTTGTGTTGTTGGAAAAGAGTGATTGTGATGACCAGCTTGTTCTCTTGACAAAACTCTATTAGCCTTTGCCCTGCTTCGTTTTGAACTCCAAGGCCAAACCTACCTGTTGTTCCTTTTATCTCTTGACTCCCTACTTTAGCATTCCAATCTGCTATAATGAGAAGAACATCTTTCTTTGATGACAGTTCTAGAAGGTGTTGGAAGTGTTCATAGAATCGATCAATTTCAGCCTCTTCAGCATCGGTGGTTGGTGCATAAACTTGGATTACTGTGATGTTGAAAGGTCTGCCTTGGAGTCGTATTGAAATCATTCTATCATTTTTGAGATTGTATCCCAGTACAGCTTCTCCCACTCTTTTGTTGACTATCAGGGCTACTCCATTTCTTCTACGGGATTCTTGCCCACAATAGTAGATATGATAATTTTCTGAATTCAATTTGCCGATTCCCGTCCATTTTAGTTCACTGACAGGATGTCAATGTTTATTCTTGCCATCTCCTGATTGACCACATCCAGTGATCCTACATTCCAGGTTCCTATGCAGTATTTTTCTTTGCAGCATCAAACTTTCCTTTCACTTCCAGGCGTGTCTGCAGCTGATAGTCCTTTCCGCTTTGGCCCAACTGCTCCATTAGTTTTGGGGCTACTTGTACTTGTCCTCCACTCTTCCTCAGTAGCATGTTGGACGTCTTCCAACCTGAGGGGCTCATCTTCCAGCGTCATATCTTTTAACCTTTTGTTTCTGTCCATGGAGTTTTCTTGGCAAAGATACTGGAGTGGCTTGCCAGTTCCTGCTCCAGGTGGATCACGTTTAGTCAGAACTCCCCACTATGATCTGTCCATCTTGGGTGTCCCTGCATGGCATAGCCTATAGCTTCTCTGAATTACTCAAGCCCCTTCGCCACAACAAGGCAGCAGTTCATGCCCATCTCTAATTCTGGGAATTGCAGTGTCCAAAACTAACTTTTCCAAGCACCATGTCTGCAATCCTAATGCTGCTCTTGCATACAAAGTCTCTGCTCTCACCTTCAAGAATGCAGAAATAGTGTCCCTATCCCTCCCACAATTGTTCCCAGGAATGCTCAAGTCACAGCAAATAAAGTACTTTTTTACTGTATCGAGGAGAGTGCAATACTGCTGCATCTTCAGCTGGGATTCTACTTTACAATCTAGAACAGTAGTTCCCAACCTTAGGTCCCCAGATTTCCTTGAACCAAAACTCCCAGAAGACTTAATCACTAGCTGTGCTGGCCAAGATTTCTGGGAGTTGTAGTGCAAGGACATCTTGGAACCCAAAGTTGGGAAGCACTGATCTAGGTGGAAACTGCTTTGTTTGCAATACTGCCATCACTCACATTAACTTTACTTAATTACTTATTTCATATGCTAGCTTTTCCCCAGAACTGGGACCCAACGTAGTTTACAAGATAATTAATTTAGCTTTCTCCAAAGGTAAGATATCAAATTTAATGCTAGACAAGCACATGTAATTCATGAATTTTAGAAATGATGAAGAATAAGAATATTGGATGTTTTTGTCTGTGAGGTATGTATATTGAGATATCAAATAGGTGTGAATTATAATATTGACTATGTTGATAAGATTAAACATATATCTTGCTGTCTATAAGAATGGAGATTTTCAGTGACTATGTTGATAAGATTAGACATATACTGTATCTTGCTGTCTATAAGAATGGAGATTTTTGATGAATGAACTGGCCTGTGTGGATTCTCTTGGTAGATAAGTAATCTTAAAGAGGAAATAAGAAATGTTTATGATGAGATTTAGACAGATGGAAATGCAGGTGAGAGAATTTATAAAATTTACTGTAAACTTAGGATGTTAGACACTTAATTAGACATACAATATAGGGATATGAAATATGCATATCAAAACTGAAAAAAGGAGCTGATAAGCAAAAATGAAAAAACTGAAAGTTACTTGCTGAATAAATAATAGAAATCACTGGTTTAATATATATATTAACATATAAAGTAACATGATGAATATACAATAAGCAAATTTGGCCAGATATGAAATTTAATGCTAGACAAGCACATGTAATTTATGAATTTAAGAAATGATGATGAATAATAATATTGGATGCTTTTGTTTGTGAGGCACGTATATTGAGATATCAAATAGATGTGAAGTATAATAGTGACTATGTTTGATAAGCTTAGACTTATATCTTTCTCTCTATAAGAATGGAGATTTTTGATGAATGAACTGGCCTGTCTGGATTCTATTGGTGGATAAGTAATCTTAAAGAGGAAATGAGAAATGTTTATGATGAGATTGAGATAGATGGAAATGCAGGTGATAGAATTTATAAAATTTACTATAAATTTAGGACGTTAGACACTTAATTAGATATACAAAATAGAGATATGAAATATAACATGTGTCAATACACACGGATATACTATGATGCAGTATGGGAATAAGGCATAAGATTTCCTGTAGTCAGAAATTATATAATAGATAAGTTGGAATGGGAAATACCTCCCCGCTTATATGTTTTGTTGGTCTTATGTGTTCTTGATTGTCCTGTAGGTTTTTGTCTATTCTGTAGGTATGTATGTCTTAAAAATAATAAAATATTTTTAAAAAGTGATAGAAAGGACTGCTAATGGCCCAGGGTCTGAGGAGGGGGCATTCTGTCCTACTACTCTGAGGTGAAGCATCTCTCTTGCTTGGACAAGAGTCATTCTTCATTACTGGGGTTTTACTGTTCCCAGGAGAACTGAACTAATCTCAGAGGAATTTTAATGCAAAAATTACAATATTGTTTCATGGCCAGAGTAATGCAGAATGTAGAGCTCAAATCAGGCAAATATCTTCTTGGTCATACAAAGCTTCAGGTATGCGCTTTTCCAATGGCTTGTGTTCTGTGTAAATACAGAGGATGTCCTGTTAATTCCTTAACTATCTTCTCTGGAAATCATATAAGCAAATGTATCCTAGCATCTTCTATTATCTGTATCTGCTCAGTGTGCATGCAGATTATGGGGAAACTGCTGTTCGTTGTAAGAAAGGGAAGACATTCCTGAGTGTTATGGAAAGGAAACAGCAGTATCATCTACATTCTTCAGATTACCTTGTCTACATGATACTGATAATAGATATCATGAAATTAGGTCTCAATGGTCTTTCTTATAATTTCTCTATATTCTCTATGGGGGGAGGTGAACGTGAACCTTCCTGCTTTGCCTCTAGCACCACTCCTCCTCCATATCCACATTTGGGTATAATGTCTGAATTACTTGTAAATAAGGTGTCCACATAGGATACAATGGCCTGTTTCCTGTTCATTGTGAGTGATGCATAATGTTCTCCTGTGCAGCTTGTACAATCTCTGATGCTGCGTTCTGCTGTAGTGCAGCACGGGAGAGACTGAATGCCCTTGTGCTTACTTTAACTGATGTGGGGGGGGGGTAGGTGACTGCAAGAGAGAACTTTCATCAGCCCTGAACAGATCTCCCTCATTGTTTTCAGCGAGGCATTATACTTGTGCAAAGAGGTAGTGGACCAAAAGTGAAAAATCCCTATCAGTCACACAACTGATCACTATTAAGACTAAAAGGAGCAACAGAATTCTGACCACTGTACATAAGTTTAAATTCTGTGACTGATACTCCACTTTTAAAAAAATTGAAAGAGTCAACAACACGATTAATTTATTATTAATAATATTATTTCCTCACATAAACATTAGGAGCTGCCTCAGAGCAGGCAGAAAGAAATTTAAAAGAAAACAAAAGCTGCAATCTCATAAACTGCCAGCAGACAAAATGTAAAAGAAGGTCTAAACTTGATGTCTAACTTGTTATATTCAACTGTGTTTTCAGAAAAGTGATTTATAAATTCAAATAAAAACACTGTTTTGTATATTTGTTTTCAGCACTTTTGAAATAGATTTTGTTGGGTCCAATGCAGGTCACACAACATATATTCCTTTAACTCTTAAAGCTTGCTGCTGTGGAGGAAATGAAAAGTGTGTTTGATCACATCTGATCCTTCAAGCAGATAAGGAAGAAGAGCAAAGAACGCAGACTCATACAACAGGCATCATCTGTTCTCAAGCAGCATTTTAATACCTGTTTCTTAAGAAACTGTGATTTTTCAGGCTGCTCTCCTCCCCCTGTGCTCAGGCTCTTGGTGATGTTTGACACCCATTTCAGCAAATCCCCAGCCTTCTCAACATGTTCTTTCTTTTCCTCTTCTACTGACTTCTGATGAACAATGGGCATTGCAAAGATACGCACATTGTAAAATGCTGCAACATTAACTTTTTGCCACACAAGAAACATAAGAATCTGTTTTACTAACAAAGATGGCAGAATTTTAGAGATATTTTATTTTATTTTTAAATCCCAGTTACTATATTATTCTAATGCAGTTTTTTAAAAAAAATGTTAACAGTTTTTAAGAGACAGTAAGTAACCCAAGTGATGCATTCTTTAAAAAATGAAAATAGTTATTATGATACATATTAACACATTTGTATATACATTTAATAGAATTTACATTACTAAAACCTCCTGGACACCATCACATAGGCAAAATCTAAATAAGTATTTGCATGTAGAACTCTTTAAACTGTGGCCTTTGTATCAGATATACACCCAAACTTGGATAGCATGCTGTGTTTACTATAATTCATTAATATAAAAATATTCAAAGCAGTTTTTTCAGTTAATAATAGCATTTCACTAGTTTGTTATTTAAGACGTATGAAATGTGATGTAAGAATTACCATATTTTAATAATTCTATCACCAATTCTATTGCTGATTTCAGTTTTCAATCTTAAAAAAACATTCAAAGCATCATGAAACAAAACAATGGAGAAAAAATGGGGATAAAATTAATCATGTATTAGAAGTCTCAGTTTCTCCCTCTGAAATGTCCACAGTCAATGTTACTACTAAATTCATGAAGCTTACTTAGTATACAATGCTAAATATATTTACTAGGAAGTGGTTCCACTGATCACTGCAGTCTGACTTCCAGAAAAAGCATTTTTAGGATTGTACTGTTAAAAGAACATTAAATCTTTTAACAAACTTCACACCAAATCATGCTAAACTCTGTACCTGCAAGTGTGCATCGTTTCAATTATATTTATTTATGACACTGAACTATGAATTCTTTGCAAGCTTACTTACATCCATGTTGCTTATTAGATAAACATGAACCACAACCCATGCGAAGCTGAATGCAAGCACTCAGGTGTCACTGCCTTCAATGAAAGAGTTTATGTGCTCAGTTCCCTACTCAGTTCCCTAGTCATATTTTTTGTGTTCAGGATTGTATTGCATCTTATATGCTGACATGAATGCAACAGGACAGTGCTTTACTTTTGAATACTTTTAGAAATCAGCTGGAATGACATCAGATTCACCCTCCTCACAAAAACCTCAGAACAAAACGTACTGTCATCATAACGATCCAATTTTTACACACAATAAGTTGCTGGTATCATTTGTATAAATCAAGAACACATTTCAGTCATTTTTAATTATATATAAGTCCCAAAGATTTCAGTATGGGAGAGGTGAAGTATTCAAGCATATCTTGAAATGAAAGCACTGGGACATAAAAGGGTTCAATGCTGATGAAACTGTAGCGCAGTGGTTACATGCATTAAGTAGCCTTAAATATGGAGTATACAAAAGAATACAGAAGCAAAGCCAAAGAGCTTTACTCTATTGAAAATTAGGTCCAATTTTTCCTCAGATAATTCACAGGGAACAATTGAGATTATGAAACTTGCAGCACAATTCTACATATGTCTTTCAGAAGCATACCCAGTTGAATTATATAGGGCTTACTCGCAATTAAGTGAATTGCTGCCTTCCATTGCTGACTTATTATTGTGAGGAAAAATAAAGCCTAGAAATTCCTGAGGAAATAAGTTCAGCTGCTTCTAGCAATCGCAGCCCTGTGTGGCAGTCAAAAACAGATTTGTCCAGAGCTTCTTTGTATGTCATTTTCTTTCTTGTCTTAGGGCACGTAATACTTTTTAGGTAGAATTTGTCATCTTTCATTTTTGTAGCAGTCACAGCATCGATTATGCCACTCCTAATAGCTTCTTCCATTGACAATCTAGAATGGGATTTCGGATCTATCAGCCCACCAGTTAAGTGCTGATACTCTAGGCAGCGACTGCCCATTTCTTTGTCTAGGACATTTATATCCATTGCTTCAACCACTGACATAATACTCTTTGATATGGGGTGAACAATCCCTGTAAAGACCAGTTCACACTGCTGGATGTGCTTAGCGCACACCTCATCTATCAGCTCTCTGTGCAGGGCCTCGGCCACACTATATCTCTTCCCAGTAAAGGGATCAATTATACCCCCTGTACTGGCTTGTGCTTCGAGGCACCTCAGTGTTGTGGTTCTGTCCACCAGGTTTTTTCGGGAAGCTTTCAGTACAGGTATTCTTTCATTTGTCTCAGACAACCAGATTCCAGCAATGGGACTGTTCAGATCTGTGCGGGGTTTGGAATTGCTCAGCAAAATGTCTCCAAACTCATTGACTGTAATTTGCCTTTCTTTGTATTTACTGAGCAATGTTCTGTCAATTTTATTGTCAGCGAGTGCCTCATCAATATTGAACTGCATCCCTGTTTTCAGATCTGTCAGCACAAGATAAGAGTTCCCATGGGAATCAAAACACGTGGTTTCTTTCCACTGAAATTCCTGTCCTGAGAGCTCAAGGTAGGTGCTTTTGTCTATCACAGCTTTTTTATAAGCCTCATAGGAGGTCATTTCAGCTCCTGTTTTAATGTCAACCACAGATATTTTATGAATTTTTTCTGCAGAAGGAGTGGTTATTCTTCTCTCCCCAACAGGAAGTAAAAAGCATTTACTATCTATATCAAACAAACACAGCTTCAGCAAATCACTATAATACATGGCTTGCCTAGTATTGGGATTCTGAAAGTATTTTTTATTGCTGGAAGGCTCATGTAAAAAATTCAAAACAGTGTTATTCAGCAAGCCCAGCTGTACTGCAATTTCAGGAAGAACACGGACACTTCGCACAGGGTCAATAACTCCTCCCGTTGCAATCTGAGCTTCAAGAATATTTTTGCCTTTTTGCCTATCCAAGACTCTATTCTCAATTGCTTGATAGACAGACAGCCTTCTCCCAGACCACATATATCCCAAGACTGCTAATTCCGCCTCAAGAAGCCTACCTTTGTACTCTTGATCTACAAGTCCCTTGATAAGTGAATCATCAACAGAGTATTTCTGACCTGTTGCAGGATCAATGATGAAACCAGTGGCTGCCTGGGCTTCTAACAATGTTAACACTGATGCTTTTTCAATTACTCTTTGCTTAGCTGCAGAAGCAAATGAGATCCTGTCTTTGCCATTTTCAATGTACAGTCCAGCTATGGCAGTTGGCTTTGTCAAAAAAGTCTCAAGATTTTTTTGAACCTCGGCCAGAGCCTTCTTCCCTGTATGGAGTTGTTCAGCTGTGCTCATGTCTAGAAGTGTAACTTCAATCAACTGCTTGGCAGTTACATCATGTCGGAGACCTTGAAATTTGATATTATCATATTCAGAAGGAATTATATCAACTTCCTTGGCCTGCCTTTCCTCTGTAACTGAACTCAGCCTTGACAAATCTTCAATCCTAAATCCTTCCGATGATCTGTATCCCTCAAGCAGTCTTCCTTCATTCCCAAATTTCTTGCCAGTTTCTTGATCTAATGTAGCCACTTCAACATGTACACCATACTGATTGTTGTTCACTATCTGCAAATTGGAATTTTTTAAAATAATGAAGGAAGTTCAGTTTAGAAAGCAGTATGACATTAGTCCACACTGAGTGTGGGAATGCAGAATATGAACAATAAACACTGAGAATCTATCAAATTTATTAGCTATGTCAATATGGAAGAGGTCTGAACAAGAAAGTTCAAAAAATGGAAAGATGAATAGAAACATAAACTAGAGTTTGTAAAGAGGACACCATGCTTGAATTAAACCAGGTTATAATTAACGTCTGTACTGTGTCGGGGAACTCAGGTAATGAATAGGGCTGTAGCCAAAATGGGGCCACTGAGGTGTTTGTTTGTTTTTTTAAAGGGAACTCTATGCTTGCAGACATACAATTTTTGAAAACTCAAAGACGAACAAAAATAATCAAAAGGTACATCCAATAATGACTGAGCATGCTCTGCAGTCATGAGCTATAAAGTAATCATTCAAAGAATGGAAAAGGAACATGATGGAGAACATGAGTGAGTGCCTGGCCAAACCCCTGAACAGAAACACTCTTCTTAAGAGGGAAAACTGCTATATTTTGCAGTAAGCCCCACTTAAACATAGGATTTAACTTGTGTTCTTCTGCCTTGCCTTTAAGGAAATTTATGTCCATCTTAAAAGTAGCAAACCATGCATATATGCATAGTTCATTAGAGCTGACTCTTGGGTTTCTATAGACCAAATTAACTTATCTGAGGTTTTCACAGGCTCTTTGTGAAAGTAGACTCACCTACTGTGTAATTCACAGAACAGATACATAAACAATTTGCTACACTGGAGCAACAATACAGAGAGCCATTGGCTAGATCTATATATTTTTTTCTTGCACTCTGTATCTTACTGAAAATACAGGCCTAGAATCCCCTGAAAATGTTGGGACAATACATGTGGAGAAAAAATTTTAAAATGTTTAAGAATATTTTTGATATTGTTTCATCAGATAAGATGAAAACAAAAATATAACAGAAAAACGTTAAAGAACCTTAAAGAACAGAGAGCAAAACCCAGCAACATCAAGTTGTATGATGTACCTCCAACGGCTGCAGATGCTTCCCTAATCCCATTTCATAACTGCCATCGTGTCGTGAACCAAGGAATTTGCTGTTTTTCAGTTTATCTATTTCTGGTATTCTTGAGAGAGGATTGCTCTTATCAATAGTTATCTCAAGCTCTGTGCTTGTCTGGGATACAAACTGGGAGTAGGACTGTTGGGTGATCCCATCTTCCAATGGGCGGCTTATTCCAGACAGTTGGAATGGCTTCTCTCGTGGCAAGGAATCAGCAGCAACCATTTGCAATTTCTGTCCAACAAGCTGTTCAGATTTACAACCTGGACTGCTTATTTCAATTTGTCTTCTTCTTAATAAAGGGGAAGTAGTTGTACACAGGTTACGTTGTTCAAATTCTCTTGGGGAAGTATCTCCCATGTAACTAAAGCCACTTCCC